TAAAGTATATATATGTATATATATATATATATATATAATATAACTTAATTAACATATATATGTATTAAATAATAATAATAATTAAATATAATATATTATTAAATCAATTTGATGTTTTAAAAATACACAAGTTCCAATAAATCAACACCCTGCTAAAAGGGTGCCATTAGCACTGGCGGTATATAGATAACAAATACTTTGCATCTTATTTTTTTTAAATGTTATTTTTTATTATAAAAAAGAGAGAGGAATTGGGGGAGGGAGGAAAGATAGGAAGAGATAGAGAGAGAAAGAGGAACATATTTATCCACAATTTCTATTCTTTGGGTTTTCAAGATTGGGGCTTATGAGTGTGGTGGTAAGAGGGGGGAAATTGTATGGAAACGTGGTTGTAAATCCTGCAACATCCCTCTGAATCTATCTATAATCAATAACAATGGTGGAAGCAACGGTCGTGGCGGCTTTCTCTCTCGTATCACCACTCTCTACCCCTCAACTCTCCAATTTTAGGGCATCTTCACCTCTTTTCTCGCTTCATTATCCCTCTTCCTCCGCCCCTCGTCTTCTTATTCGTTCTAACAACACTTTCAACAATCCATGCCATGTCAATTTCCCTTTTCCTTCACGATTTCTTATGTCGACCCACGATTCCTTTGCTAGGTCATCCATTTCTTCTTCTTCGTCTTCTTCTTCTTCCACGAATAGCGATGATGTTTACAGTTCCACGATGGACGACGACGACGACGACGACGATGTAGGTGTTGTTTTGGATAAGTTTGATGACCCCTCTCCTCCTGATTTGCCTGATCGATGGGATGTGTTGGGTCTTGGCCAAGCCATGGTACAATCAGTTTTCTTCCATCTTTGATATTGTAACTTTATCTGAAATATTAGATATTTGCTGCACTGGAATTAGTAATTACTGCCCCTCATGTGTTATTTCTTACCAATTCATCCATTTATTTGCTTATTCTATCTTTGCTATTTGTTTACGTTTATAATCTGTTGAGAATTCTATCCAGTTTCTTACTTTTAATGTTAGCATAATTTGAAGATTCAGTGCCACTTTTCCTAATTGTAAGCATAAAGTTTCAGTAGCATTCACAGGCTGAATTGTAGAAAAAACAATAAAGGGTTTGGATTTGCGTTTTCAAAGTGATTATCATATGCTGTAGGATATAATGTTGGGATGTGCTTCTTCGGCTTAACGATGTAATAATCACTTTTCACACCGTTGAGTGTTTGACAAACTCTGATTATTGAAATAAGTAATCGAGAAAAGAAGGGTATATAAGTAACATCACGCCATCCTTTAATACTTAGTTCTTTCTAGACTACTATCAATGTATTGTTATCACTTTCAAAACGGACATCCAAACATCCTCGTAATCGATCAATTGCACTTGCATATTTATTCTAGTGGCCCATTAGTCATAGTTGATAGGTGGTACCTTAAGATATCTATAATCTTATTACAGCGTTTGAACCACTTATGAACAGTTCCTTTTTGGGGTTCCCGTGTACAAGTTTCAAAAGATTCTATCTTTGAGTTCCAAAACTGTTCTTTTTTATTTATCACCCATTTCATCACTTATATCATCATACTTTTGTTAAGCCGGATTTGATCTAATGGCTCTAATCATTTTGAGCCTGAGCTTCTATTTATTTGGTTTTGTTTCTCTGATAGGTAGATTTTTCGGGCATTGTGAATGATGATTTTTTGATGCGATTGGGTTTAGAGAAGGGTACAAGAAAGGTTGTGAATCATAAGGAGAGGGGTAGAGTTTTGCAAGCTATGGATGGATGCAGCTACAAGGCGGCTGCTGGAGGATCTCTATCTAATACCCTAGTGGCATTGGCTAGGCTTGGGGTTCACCCCATTGAAGGCCCTGCGCTAAATGTAGCTATGGCTGGTAGCATTGGTAGTGACCCATTGGGTGGGTTTTACAGGTAGACCCTCTTCTTTGGCAACCAGTCTTATTTGCTATGCTTGTTATGGGTATCCCTAGAGTGGATCTTGGTTTTCAATAGAAAAGAATTGAATTTTGGGGGTATGCAAAAGATAAAAAAAAACAGATATGTTTTCCAGTTGGTTATTGAAGTAAGCATCTCTACCTCTTGTGGTAGAGGCAAGGTCTGCATACATCCTACCCCACAAACCCTACCAGCCTTTGTGTGGAATATTTATTGAAGTGGTTGAATAGAGCAGTACTGTACTAATCATTGTGTCAATCTGTTATAAGATCTTACATTTATGATATACTATTACCCCTTCTGAGTCTAGTTTGTAAACTGGAAATCATAGTTATGTTATTTGATGTGTGCTATAGAACTAAACTGCGACGGGCCAATGTAAACTTTCTTTCTCCACCAGTCAAGGATGGGACAACAGGGACGGTTATAGTTCTGACAACCTCGGATGCTCAACGTACAATGCTTGCATATCAGGTTAGGGTCATGTCCACCAACAGGATTCATATATCTAATGTCTTCAATTTCAACATGCTTCCACATAATTAACATTTGTGAAAGGATATTTATATTGTGGTAAGCTCTCTAACCTTTGGGGTAGAGAAAAGATCTGTATACATCCTTACCACGCCCCCTCGGGTGGGGGAGACTCTATCCTTATGTGGGATTCACTGAGTTCGTTTCGTTTCGTTTCGTTTGGATTTAAGCTAAGCCCACATGGGTTATGGTCAGTTTCTTTGGTTACTAGGAACAAATTATATTCACATAATTAACATTTGTAAAATGCGCAATTTTTAGTTATTCTTGAACGATAACATTTCTTATATAGTCTATATACTATGAGGCAGGGCACGTCTTCTTGTATTAACTATGACTCGAGTATGGAGAGCATAATTTCCAAGACGAATATTCTAGTTGTTGAAGGATATCTGTTTGAATTTCCTGACACGATCAAGACGATTAAGAAAATCTGTCAAGTTGCTCGTGATAGTGGTGCTTTGGTTGCTGTTACAGCCTCAGATGTAACCTGCATAGAGACACATTACGATGATTTTTGGTAGGTATATGTACGATCTACCATAACTGTGACACGAATATCATGACGTTGGTCGGTTAGTTTCAGGATATTGGAAACAGCTGCTCTACTCTTTGGAGCAGATGTCAGGTCTGCTTACATCCCACCCGCAAGACCCTACCTTCAAATGGGATATATTGAGGGGATGTTTACCAACCCAAATTGGGTAAACACTAAGAGGTTAGTCTGGGTAAGCAATGACTGGAAATGGCTGTCTACCAAGTGTTTTTAGCATGTGCTTCCGAATAAAATCAATTTGGGAAAGTATGGTCTTCGCCCGTAGTAAACAACATCATCCCTGAGGCTCTTACCCAGTAAATAACATTCAGCAGCCCCTGTTCCTTACTACTGACCCAGCTTAGTGACTGATCTGACTGAAGGTGCTGACTCGGTCAGCATCAGCGCCTACAGTGCTTACCCAGACCGAATCTCTTACCAAGACAGCACTCTTACCTGGTAAGCGCTTATCCAAAAAGTGTTGGTAAACGGCAAGTAAACATCCCCTGAGTTGTTTGGTTTGGTTACCAATGTCGAAGAAATATTGAGCTATTGTGATTAAGGGGCCGTTTACTAAACGCTTACCTGGGAAGTGCTTACCAGGTAATTTTCCTTACCGGATGAACATGACAAGGGTCAAAAATCTTACCCGGTAAGAGCAGTGATAAAGATGGAGAGTCTTATTCGGTAAGTGAGGGTGGCGATTCTTATCTGGGTAAGTGCTTACCGGGTAAATTGTTGCATATGATACCATTTTGATGTACTACAATTTTGCCCGGTAAAATAAATTATAGTGTTGACTCCTAATGGTAAATGCTTACTGGGTAATTTAGGTAAACGGCCCCTAAGTTGGAATTTTGATCAATGAAAGGTTTTCATTAACTTTATCATGAATCTTTGTGCAGGGAAATTATGGAAAACTATGCCGACATCGTGTTTGCAAATAGTGATGAAGCAAGAGCTTTTTGTCATTTCTCTTCGGAGGAAAGCCCTGTATCTTCCACGCAATATTTAAGTCATTTTGTTCCGCTAGTTTCAGTTACAGACGGTCCAAGAGGGTCGTACATCGGGGTAAAGGGAGAGGCGTTGTATATTCCTCCGTCACCCTGTGTTCCGGTCGACACATGTGGGGCCGGGGATGCATATGCTTCTGGGATATTGTATGGGTTATTGAGGGGTGCATCGGATTTGAAAGGGATGGGCACATTGGCAGCCAGGGTTGCAGCCGTGGTGGTTGGGCAACAGGGAACGCGGCTCAGGGTTCAAGATGCGGCTAGGTTGGCAGAATCGTTTGAATTTACCGTTGAAAACTCGTCACTTCAAGCAGATGTTGGTTCCGACATTTCTAGTTTGTAATGTGCGTTTTCGATAGGTCGTTTGTAGCGGTTCTATCTCGGGTTTTTCTAATTAATTGATGCTTTGAATTGAATAGCTTGTTAAAAAAATCATATGGTTTTGATTGTACATAGCACAAAAGAAGAAAGAAAAGAAAAACAAGGTAGAGCCAAAGGCAGTTAGATGAGTTAAAAACAGATAAATAATTGATTTCCAGCCTTCTACCTTTGATGTGTTGTTATTAATGAGGGTAACAAGAGGAGTAACGTGCATTTGGAATGACTAGGTGTGAAATAACTGTGAAAAGTTTTAAGGGGTGTTTGGTTCATGGAATTTGGTGGAATTGAAATGTTCAAATCTATTACCAAATTCCAAATTCCATGTTTGGTTCACATAATAGATGTGAAAGAATCCAACCAATTCCTTAATTCATTGATTTCACAATTCCACCGTATATACCACGGATTTCAAATTCCAATCCGACAAATTCCTTAGCCCTCATCCATTCATTGACGCTGTATCTCGATTTGCTCTGTTCTGCTATGTTCGATCTCCTTTGCTCGATCTCGTTTAAAACTAAGAATGACAACGGGCCAGGTTCGGGCCGGTTATTGGTATCCCCGTCCCAAAAACCGATAACTAAAACCATCCCCATGACCGCCCTGATCCCCGTCGGGGATCTTATCGGGTCTTGTGGTTCCCCGATCCCCGTTGAGGAATTCGTGAAGGTAAAAATCCTCTTTTTCCCGTTCACCGTTGGCTGTAACCGAACCCGAAACCGAAACCCGAAACAAATCTAAAAAAATCTCCGTTAAAATCCCCGAATTTAATATATTATATATATATATATATATATATGTATATAAATTAAAATTAATATATATACACATATCAAGCCAGGCCAGGCCGATGATCACCGTCCCCGCCCCCGTCCCCGTTAAAATCCCCGAATTTGTCCTTGATCCCCGCCCTATCCCCGATAAGATGTCCCCGAACCCAGCCCGAAAGTTTCGGTTTCAGTTTTTTTTTGCCTGTAATTTTCTCGTTGAATTCCGTGAACGAAACAAAAAAAATTCCAATTCCATCCAACCAAACGCAATCAAAAGATATGGTCAAATTCCATTCCATTCCCTCAAAGTCAAATTCATTTAATGAATTCCAATTCCATTGAATTCCATTCTACGAACCAAACGCCCCCTTAGGGTTCTAATCTGAAATTTAATAATTTACAGATTTTGTTGAACATTTTTGTTCCAACTATTTTAACGGGACAACAAATGTATTTTTCACCACTCAATCATGTTTTCTTTTAGTCCAATATGCATCAAATGTGAGACAAGTTTTTGTTTTGTGTACGGAACAAGGAGGTAAAATGGACTTGTTGTGATAACCGGTTATTCAGTTGTAAAATTTAGGGTTGTTTTTGATCAAAGATAGAACTTGAGGGATTTAATTTGTTTATGTGATTAAAATGTTTTAAAAGCATTTCCACCGCCTCTTAGGGTGCGTTTGGTGCGCAGACATGACAGGACAGGATAGGACAGAACGGGACAGGACAGGACATGACAGGACAGCTGTTCAACGTTTGGTAAGACAGGACAGGACAGGACAGAACCGGTTAAAATGACCAATTTACCCCCAGTGAGTTGTTTAGTGTTTTTTCACTACGAAATGCATTCAAGACACAATGGACTAATTATTGGTTCAATCTAACACAAGACACAATGGACTAATTATTGATGCAAAAATACTTAAACCTTAGGATGCTAAATCGAAGATATCTGGTTCTTAGCATACTGACCTAGTAATGATTTCCTCTCGGGCAGTCTGAAGACAACCCTATCTTTCCCAGGCAATTGTAATCCACCACCACCAGTTGCATCAGGCTCCAACGTTTCCTTTATCTTGTCTATATCAGTCGGATTCTGTAGTGGCAAATTGAAAATCAAACAAGTTTATGACTGATAAGAAATGAATTCTTTGTGCTTAGTTAAAGAATACCCGAGTTCATATTTAGACTAATCCAATGCTGAAGAAATGGACTAAAATTGCTTCGATGGTGTAAACGCCCGACAAGACCAGTGTTGCTCTTACAGCAAACTCTCATGCGGACCATCACAGTCCCATGAGTTAACGATCTATCCGGCATTGAAAACCCCATCAAACGACTTACCAGTCGAGAAGCAACAGTCGATTGGATATGGAGAGAAGAGTTCGGTACCGTCGATTGGAACAATGGAGAAGAGAAGAACGCCGATTGGAACTCGCCGTCGCTGGTCACCGTCGATGGTCGCCGTCGATGGTCGCCGTCGATGGTCGCTGTCGATGGTCGTCGTCGATGGTCGCCGTCGATGAAGGAAGCGATGGAGGCATTGATCGATGAACCGATGGAGGCGATGGTTAGTTCTTGTGAGAGCCGGGTAGGGGAAAAAGGGTAATGAGAGAAAAAGTTTTGTGTTCCACTTAGTTCCAGGGGTAATGGTTGGACAAGCGTGTCCCATGCTTGTCCAACTTAGTTCCACTTAGTTCCACATTCAGCCACACCAAACGTAGGACAAATGTGTTCTGTCCTGTCCTGTCCTGTCCCACCCTGTCCAGCGTACCAAACGCACCCTTATTTTTAATTGTTAGTTATGAGATGTATGAGTTTTATCTCATTGAGATTGTGGGTGAAAAAGTAAAAAGAAAAGTGAGTTTGGTATGTGTGTATTTTGAGCTCTAAGGAAAAACAGAACTGAAAAGAAGAAACAAGTAGAAACAGTTTTTGTGATTCTTGTCTTGAATTAGTTGTTGCTGTTCATCTTTTTACCTTCTTCTCCTGTGACTGCTACGATGAGTTATTTTACAAACCTTCCTTTTATGGTATTGAAATTAGAATTGTATGGTTTTTGTACATGTGGATTTTATAAAATTATTTTATGCTATAATTAGCATAAATTGGTATTTTGATATGATTATATCACGTGGTTGGGATAAAGGTTGCATATCAAAGAGAGTTGTATTTTGGTTATAAATGTGATATATCAAAAAGAGGTGTATAGCAAGATAATGGTGACATAATCAACAGAATGTAAAATCAGGTTTTTTATTTATCAAATTGTTAATTGTTATCGCATCCTTATGATGCGATGACTTTGAGTTGTCGCATCCTTATGATGCATGCAATGACTTTGAGTTGTCGCATCTGTGTGACGCGGTGACTTAAGTTATTGCATCCTATTGATGCGAAGAGTAGTTGCTATCGCATCCTTGTGATGCGAAGAGTTATGTTTGTCGCACCAGTGTGATGCGACAAGTTGACTTATCACACTAGTGTGATGGGACAAATTGGTTTTTCGCACCGATGTGATGTGATGAGATGGGGTCCTCCCACTAGTGTGATGCGAGGAAATGGGGTTGTCTCACTCATATGACGTGAGGAATTTATGTTTTCATCTATATGATGCGATGAGTTTTAATATAATGTGATAAATGAGTTGTTGAACTATTTGATGTGATAATTGGATTATATTTCATCATTATGATGCGACAAAAGATGTTTGTTATTATTGAAATGATTTTATTTGTTATTGATATATACATATATGAGTTTATTAATGTGACTTGGTGATTATTCATCCTATAATAGCAAGAAAAAAAAAAAGGGATTTCTCACTAGACCTTATGGTCTAACCCTCATTTTGGTGTTTTGAAAATGCACATTACAGGTCTAGCACAACCAGATGATAAAGGGGAAGGGAAAATTGTGAAGAGTTATATATGCTTGCTTGGGATATTGGATTAACATATCATCTTTTGTACTTGTTATGCATACAAGTTTTGTATAAGGGATTTTGTGGAAAATTTGGTAGCTACTTTGTAATGTAGCTTTTGTAGATATTGGGACGGATGAGACCTGATGTGTAAATTATATTTCTTGATATACATAAATATATGAGTATATGCAAATGTGATCTTGGGGTGTTACACTTGTTAAGTAGGACTGGGAGTTAAACAACATATAAAAAACTATCATTAAAGGGAAATGATACATTTTATGTCGAACATTCGATCTCGAATGTGTAATATATCGGCATGGAATGATAAGGGATGATAATGAGCTTCACTATTTAATTACAACTAGGGTTCGCTATAAAAAGTTATGATGTCACATCAATATTCCTCTGGTATCGACTTAAAATTAAGAATACTACTTGTGGTGCATTTGTCAATACTCTTCAAACATTTACAGACATCCCTTCTCGTTTCATATACTTAATTGCATTTCAATGATTTCTTTTCTCATTAATGTGAGTTAAGAAAATTCAACCACAATTCATGATTTGAAAATACTAAATTCTAATTTGTCATGTCAATACCTTATAGCACTCATTTATATATTTATATTGATATATAAGCGAATGATCGTATGAGAAAGAGAGTTAAGCCGAGAAGCGTAATAAGGGATCTGGACCCTTGATCACATTTAATCTCAACTCACCCATGAACTGCGTTTGATACGGGGATTGATCCCTTGCATCTCGATGCACCTCATCCTAATGTGAATCTAATGTGGAGATCATTTCTTACGCTTCTCATTTCAACTTTGTTATTCACCGGACACAACCCTTGATATATATTGGTTTAATTAATTATTTTCTTTAACTTTTAATATAGATTCATTTTCTTTTGTAAGAAGAGGGTTGACCAAAAATCAGCCTATATCTATGTTAGGAGAGTCACCGAATGAGCTAACAACGTTGAGATTAGAGAATCGATCAAGAGGAGTCAATCCTATGAATTGTCATAGAGACATCTCAACCTCCTTTCATATATCCACCAATCTGTTGTCAATCTTTTATCTACCCATCAATTTGAGATAGACAAAACTCAATCACAATTCAAGATTAAAAAAATACACAATTCTTAGGATGTCATATTGATAGTTGTGGTTTTTACTTTTAAATATAGAAAGAATAAATACTATATATATGTAATTTATTTTTAAAATCAATTAACTGTTTTGCAAAAAGAGGTCGGCCAAAATGAACCAACCCCATGTGTTCAGATGGTCGGCCGAAATGATCTAACCACACGTGTTTAGAGTATCAACCAAGAGGAGCCAATCCCATAAGTTGTCACAAAGGCA